TTTAAAATTAATGCCCAGTCAAGAGCCTGCTTTCCTCGATAAATGTATCAACGGTATGGGCTGGTCCAAGATTTTGTACTGGCCCGCAAAGACATGTATAGAAAAAGAAGAATGCTACTTAAAGTAATGTATTTTACAAAATGATTGATGCATGTGTCATTGAATATGAATTTGATTGGTCCTATTGATTTTATTATTAATTATAGTTAATTTTTGAAAATGTGGGATACTTAATTATTGATAGGATTTAAGTTTAAATTAAAATAATATTTGAAATAAAATAATTAAAGTTGATTTGACGTAAACGTACGAGAAAATGATCAGAAGTGATGACTAGTTCAAATTACGTGAGTTGATGAATAGTGAGTTAAAGTTGATGTGATGTGAGAATGTTTTATATATATTATTAAGTTCTGAATGATAATATCGAGGATAATGAAGTTAAATTAAATTCGAGTTCTGATTGATTTTTTACTAGTCAAGTTTTTATCCAATTCACACCCTACGACAATTCTTATCTCGTTTCAATTTTTTTTTCCCTATATGCTTAAGGGATTTAGGTTTGAGTCAACAAAGTTGCATATAATATAATATGAAACGGGAAAATGCTACAATTACGTTACGAAACTGTTCTGTCGAGATTTGCAACCGTTAAATCATCATGTAACCGTCGTGGATAGTTGATTTAACGGTTACAAACTCCGACGGAATGATTCCGAAACAGTACCGTAAAATTTCTCTATATAACGAAATAAATTACGAAAGTATAATTAATATTCTTTATTTTTAATTTTTTTGGTACAAATATTCTTTATTTTTTTTTGACAAGTAACAATACAACTTTAGTTTGTACAACGAAAATGATAGCTTGATTGATGTAGACAAAAATGAAAGGTAGGTAATTTACCAGATTTTTGTCTTTGACCATCACTTGCTTCTGTAAATTTACACGGTAAATTTATCCACACAAATCCAGTGAACTTAGTGTTGTTACTTTATAGTCAACAACAACAACAACATCAACAACAACAAAATGTAAGAGTAAGAGCTTAACATTATATACTGCACATTTATTATTCATTGTCAAGTAACTCACAAAGATTACTTCAACTTCACATTATATTTATTCTGTAATGTGGATATTAATTGTAAAATCGCACAGCTCAATTCTACATTTTTTGCATTTGAAAGTCTGATTAAAGAATACAAAGGAGACGAGCTAAAAATATATGTAAATCAACTAGAATATTTGGAATTAATCTCAGCCGTATACATGGTTAAGATCAGAATAAACTAAAAAAAAGCAACAAACAAGGAGCGACGCCTTTACATGTGAAGCACGACTACATAACAACCACTACAAGAAAACACTTCAATTCCAACGAAAAATTTCAACGGCAAAAATTTTCGTCGGAAATTCCAATGAATATTCCAACAAACTTAATTTTATGTTGGAATAAGTGTTGGATGATTGAGGAATTCCAACGGATTTTTTCCGTTGGAATAGCTGTAGGAATTTATTTCCATAAAATTTTCCGTTGGATTTTAGCTATTCCAACAACCATTTTTCCCACGAATTTTTATACATAGGAATATCCGTTGGAATAGCTATTCCAACGGAAACTATGAAGAATTCCAACGGAAAATTTCCGTTGGAATGTAAGAGTTTTTTTGTAGTCAACTAAAGAAAGAAAAAAAAAAGAAAAAGATACAGAAAAAATATCATTCATCTTCAACCTTCAACACTCCGTCCTCAAGCCGGATTTCGGTCTGAAGAAACCAAGCCGAGCTTGCACAATATCCAGCGAAAGCGAGGTCCTTGTAAAAATATATCAACTAGGTGATTAGTATACACATGATGGAGATGAATGAAATATTCTTTGCACTTTTTT